GATTCTATAAAGGCACCAGCAGAAACTGCCAGTTGGAAATCAGCTTTATATTTCAGTGCTGAGCTGATCAAAGCATTTCACTCCCTGCCTTTACAGACAGCACACGTGGAAGCAGAAGTGAGGGATTACCTTTGGTTTGTAGGCGTTGAGCATTGACATCTCCACATTTTGTCCTCTTACATGTTTAGGCTGTCTCTGAACGGGAGGGGAGGATGACTTCTGATTGTTGCGACAGATGCAGATGAAGAAGAAGAGCAAAGCTATGGCCAGGGGAATAGTAACACTTGGCACCAGGATATACAGGATTTCCATTTTATTCTTTTCCTTGGAATCCTTATAATCTGGTTCAGGAAACAAAGAAACAAATAAACAATGAATGAAGTATCCCACAGAGTCAAATACACCCCTGGGTCAACTACAAGTGTTAAGAATAAAAAACCATCCAGGTAACACTAGTGCAATCCACCTCGAATGCTGTTTTATTTCCTGATCATTAACAGAGCAATTAATTTTGTTGATATAATTTCTGTAAGGACACAGAATGGGCAGGAACAATTTCCCTGCAGCACATCAGTTCAAACCTACTCATGGTCACAAAATAGCTGAATACTGTGAGGTGCCTATTGCTTGGGGTGAAATAAAGTAAGGGTCTAACACAGGTCCACAGAAAAGTTAATTGCTAAAATGGCTTATAGAAGAAAGGCTCTGGAGGGATTATGGACTCCTTATTTTAATATGTATATTAGGTTTTGGTGCCATAGTTTCCTTAATACAACAAAAATGTGGGGAGCCATTAAAAAGAGTAGTTTTATCCCTCTATTTATTTCTAACCTCCTGTTCTCAGCATCTCCTAGCACTTGCCAAAGTATTTGCGTGGCCACCCAGGGCATCAGACTCAACAATGTGCACCTGAAAACTTATTTTCTAGTTATTTTTAGGTGCAGGAGTAGGATGATCAGGGACTGTAGAGTAGAAGAAATTGAGAATACCTGGGAAACAGGAGAAAGTGCACAGAAATGGCAAGAAATAGAGAGAGTAGTCCTGGTTTTTTATCCCAGAAGTCAAAGTGGGTTCAAAAAGTCTGAACACAGACAAAAGCTGTAGCATAATCTTAAAAAAATTTAAAAATCTTACACCCTGAGGACCTGATCTTACCAGGATTAGCAGGCTAACGGATTAACTGTACACTAAGTGTGCTATATGAGCAGGGTGGCGAGTGCTGGCACAAAGGACACAACAATGATAGCTGAAAACTCGAGCATGGATAAAAAAGGAGGATCTGGAAGAGGTTGGGAAGCCGGTTTCTTTACCATAGTGTGAATGCTAGCTGCAATATTCACTCCCTCCACACAGAGCTCTCCTCACTGCTAGGGAGTGATTAATTTTAGAAATATGAAACTGTTTTCTACCAGTGTCCAGCAAGGCACAGCCGGGACGTCAGACACTCACCTCCCTCCAGCTGGCTCTGGTTTCATCCCTTCCGTGGCTGAGAGGAATCATAGAATCATAGACTGGTTTGGGTTGGAAGGGACCTTAAAGCTCATCCAGTTCCAACCCCCCTGCCATCAGCAGGGACACCTTCCACTAGACCAGGTTGCTCAAAGCCTCATCCAACCTGGCCTTAAAAAAAGGGGCAGTGGGAGAGGAGAGAGCCTTTGGGAAGGAGCTCACGTCCCCGCGTTCACGCAGCACTCGCTGGCGTTGACAAGGACGTACCTTCCAGCTCTGAGCACGGGGACGCTGAAGCCTGCTTTGCTCTGGTATTTCCCAGGAGCATTGATAAAGTTTAGGGTATAATTATGCACGGATTAACACACTAACTGTAGGGCACCCCGGGATCTTTGAGGATCACCCTGAGCTGCAGCCTGGTTGTTTCCGAGGGAGATGGTGAATGTCTCTGGCAGCACTGGGATTAGCGGATTCTGGCAGAACAGGGAATGCTTTATTGTTCCTACAGGGTCATTTCAGTTTGTTTGTCTGTGTTTTCCAGGCTGGATCTGTAGAAGTGCTTAGCAGCCCACACAGATATCTTTTATGCACTTAATTAAACATGAACTTGATCTGAAGCTTGGGTTTGACTCAAATTGTGACAGAGGCAAAGTTCAAATGGTTCTGGATGTCACTTTGCATAACCCCTCTCCTCTTACAGGCTCGCGCTGTCCTTCTGCTCCCCCCACGCTCCTTTTTGACTATTCTTTTTAGATTAACTTGTACCATCTGGTTTTTAATTGAGAGGAGAGGTAGTCCAAATATTTCTGTGGCCTTAGGGAAACAAGAGAGGACTGAAGCACTGGTCCTGTTACAGTTTCCCTGTGCCCAGCAGGACAGTGTGTGCTCTCGCCCTGTCCTCAGTGAACGTCCAGCTCTCCTGCACGGACCCACTGCGAGTTTCCTTCATAAGCTGCTGCCCTAAATCTAGCAGAGACACACAATCAGTGCCTTTCCCTTCTCCTTCAAAACCGATTTATGTTTGTCTTTGCTAAACCTCACACTCCAATTGCTCCATGTTTCACATCTTTCTATATTCAGGTTGACAAACTTTTATGCAATGAATCTATTGCGGCTTGCGAAGCAACCGAAAGATACAGTTGAAGAAAGAAAAAGAAAGCATCAGCACAAGGCAGACGGAGATCTGGGCACCAGTTCATCACCTGAGCTATTCCAGTCAAAGGGAATTATTATTCTTATTAAGTAGCAGCCCCTGCTGTAAAGCCTCATTAGGTTAATAGGTTTCTTGGGAGCCATCCTAATTAAATCCATTTTCTACCTAGGCATGTCCTGAGGAGGCAGAATGCATAATACTTATTAAAATGTGCCTGAAATGGCTCTTTCAGCCAGTGCAAAACCAGCAGAATGCAAGTCCCACGTGGTATTTTGGTTTTAATATGCAGATTAGCATTTAACAATTAAATTACTACTCACCTGATATAGCTCTATTTGTATTTAGAATAATAATGCCATAAAACCCCGTTGTACAGCGAGTACCATTTAAGGCAGCGGTGAGAGATAATTAAAATCCCTGTCAGGAATTCTTCAAGCCAGCCAGCCTATCTCATTTGTTATCTAGGGAAACGTTCAAACCAGAGACTTTTGCAACACATCCAAAAGCGTCCTGCTTTCAGCTATTGCAGATCAAAAGACTCAGCCAGCCCTGGGATCTCAGAGCCCAGCTAGAAGGGGCCTGGAAAACAGCCCCCCCGCTCCCATCAACTCTTAATTACCCCAGAAGTCGTGGAAAACACAAAAAGCAGGTGGCTGAAAGGTCATACAGCGACAGCAGAGCATGGAAAGCTCAACAGCATCGCTGCTGGTGGGCATCTGGAGATCCCTGAGCTTGTCCAAACCGAGCTGCCCGCTGCTGGTGGGCATCTAGAGACCCCTGAGCTTGTCCAAACCGAGCTGCCCGCTGCTGGTGGGCATCTAGAGACCCCTGAGCTTGTCCAAACCGAGCTGCCCGCTGCTGGTGGGCATCTAGAGACCCCTGAGCTTGTCCAAACCGAGCTGCCCGCTGCTGGTGGGCATCTAGAGACCCCTGAGCTTGTCCAAACCGAGCTGCCCGCTGCTGGTGGGCATCTAGAGACCCCTGAGCTTGTCCAAACCGAGCTGCCCGCTGCTGGTGGGCATCTAGAGACCCCTGAGCTTGTCCAAACCGAGCTGCCCGCTGCTGGTGGGCATCTAGAGACCCCTGAGCTTGTCCAAACCGAGCTGCCCGCTGCTGGTGGGCATCTAGAGACCCCTGAGCTTGTCCAAACCGAGCTGCCCGCTGCTGGTGGGCATCTAGAGACCCCTGAGCTTGTCCAAACCGAAACTCCCCGGGACTGAGCTACGGCTCCTCACCCCAACCAACCCAGCTGAGCAGCCCCCGGGGTGGAGAGCCAAGAGCCGACACTACGCTGAGGGGAGTCCTGCTGCCTGCTACTTAGATCCAGATTTTTGTACTGAAGGGCTGAAAAAGATCTTTGGGACAGTTTATATAAATTGAACTACTCTTGTGTAGTCAGTCTACCACTGAGCCTAATTAACAGGAAAAATAACTGAAGTTAAATGCACTGAAATAACAGCAAAAGAGATACAGGACTCTAAAAAGCACGTATGAATGTTAGAGAGGGTTTGAGATGCGCACGACACAGCCCAGACTGTCTGCCATTCCCCTCATCTACTCTTTCAGTAAGAACATAATTTAGATCCCATTTTGGCATCGATTCCCATCTTTCCATTAATTGAAAAAGACTTTGGAGCAGGCTCAGAACATGTCTCACTGCAGGAATGTTCATAACCATAACCAGAAATAATTTAATTTGGTTCTGGCTATTGAACAGGAACATCAAAAGGGATCTCCTTTCCAAGGGGAAAGGTAATGTTACTGTGACAACTTGTAGGCAACATAAAATTTTGTGTGAAACTTTGTACCGTGAATTTCCAGAACATTTCTGGGTGCATTTCTGGCATGTCCATGCAAATAGCTGTATTTTTTTTCTTGGCATGCTATCAATATTGTTATTTTTAAATGCAGATAAACAAAAAGGGACCATTCGTTCAGGTCTTCCATCCACCTCCTCAGGGTCTCAGAAAAGCAGAACAAAAATGAGATCTGAATCTCTATTTTTGTTCATTTTGCACAACCAAAATGCAGCCAGGGCAGCTCTGTAAACACAAAGTTAAAATAGAGCTCAGAGGATCTGGCAGGATCATCTCTATTTTTTTAAACAAGGCCTGAGCTCTGTTAAGCAAGGTTTGCATTTATTAAAATGAAAATTAATAAACCAAGCGAAATGGAGAATGTTTTATCACCACTTTGTGGATCAGCATCAACAGTGCAACTTCTGTGATCTGATCCTTCTGTGACTGTAACGAGGTGGATGTTGGTCTCTTCTCCCAAGTAACAAGTGACAGAAGAAGAGGAAATGGCCTCAAGTTGTGCCAGGGGAGGTTTAGATTGGATCTGAGGAAAAATTTCTTCACCAAAAGGGTTGTCAAGCACTGGAACAGGCTGCCCAGGGAGGTGGTGGAGTCACCTTCCCTGGTGGTATTTAAATAAAGTGTAGATGTGGTGCTTAAGGACATGGTTTAGTGGGCATGGTGGTGTTGGGTTGATGGTTGGACTTGATGATCTTAGAGGTCTTTTCCAACCTTAATGATTCTATGATTTAATTTCTAAGGAGTTGTATTGATTGTAACAACAACTTGGAAAGCCTGGGACGCTCAGGCTGGTAACATGCTGCTGCTTCACCACCTTCTGAGGAGTGCTCAGGTACTCCCTAGTGAAGTATTTTCACAGCACCATTTTGCCAGTGGCATGGGCAGTAAGCGCTTGAAGGTCTCCTCGGGGCAGGGATGCTGTGGCTTTAGCTACAAATGCTGTAGTTGGCTTTTCCTACAGCTCTCTTTCCAGGGACACAAAGAAGACACTGTACCCAGCTCCCCCGAGTTCCTGTTTCGCAGGACAGCCGGATGGACCTGACAAAACGGTTCCCCTTTTTGTTCCAAAACGAAACATAAAAAAGATCAGTAATTACCACACGCCGGGACGTCGCAAAGCTCAGACTTAAAGTTCTCATCTAAGGTGAAGCACCACGGGGCGTCCTTCTGGTTGCCAGGGTTGCGGCAGTAGGAGTGGCCCCCGTTGAGCTCGGGGTACCTGATGGCAGTGAAGGTGTGAGTGTGGGGGTACTGCGAGTTCCACGGCTGGCACTGCCGCCCCGACCTGGTCACGCTCACCGTCCCCCGGTAATCTACTCCTGTGCTGTTGTAGCATTTGTGATCTGAAAAAAAAATATAAAATAATTAAAAAATAATAATCCAAAGCCAGAGTTGGTGGCAGTGAGGCAGATGGTCACAGCACCTGGGGGTGGTGAGCTGCTGGCAACCCCCAGCCCCAGCACACTGCTGCTGGCCCAGGGCCGGGAAACCCAGTTTGGAAGCACGGGCTCCCAATTTGCTGCGGCTGTAACACGGGGCCTGCTTTGCATTCACATTCCTGGGAGGATTTAAAGCTTATGCTTCTGTAATGAAAACAGCTTATGCCAAGCGTTTTTAATATAAGATACACAAAAGAAGTAAAAACTACAGTGGGAACCTGAATTGCAGCCATTATTTTCATATGAAGGTGGAGAATTTGTGGGAGCCACGTTTTATATTTGACTATTCAGATGTATGAGGGTTGTGAACCAGCCTGATCAAAGAGCCAGCTCAGCCAATGTCTAAAATTAGGTTGTATTTGTTAGGGACAGCCATGTACCCGGTCCCTATAAATGTTCCTCCTGACAAGCACCCCTAGACTGTACCCATGGTCTTGCTGGAGCAGTGGGAGGACAGGGAGGCTGGAGCTACCCATGTTCCTCAGTATTCAAATGCTTACGCTGTCATTGTTTCCTCCTTCATATTAATTAGAAAAGACTTGAAACCAATAAAGAGCATTTTTTGTGAGCCCACAGGCAGCTACAGAAAAAACTGAAAAGGTGTTTCTGAATTTCTACCCACTCCAGAGGAGCAGAGCGGGGTAATTTGAGAGCACAGCATCTGTGAGCTTCCAGAGCCCAGCACCAGCACCAACTCTGATGCACAAGCCCTCACAACCAACCTTTTCACAGCCATCTTTTTTGCAGAGACACAGAAAGTTTTCACTTACTTTTATTTATGGGATCTGCCATCGGAATCCCAATCCGGATACAATTGACAGCTTCGGGGCTATCTGGCTGGGGAAGATCTTCGCAGTTGGGCAGCTTTAATCTCATCAGAATCATGGGATTAGATCTTGCAAAAATATACTCTGTCTGACACAGGACATTTTCCAGAATTTCACATTCATCACGGCACAGGTCTCGTGGTTTGGGAGCTGCCGAAGTCTCGTCGCAGTAGGGGAAGGCGTAATGGCACAGGGAAGGAATAGCAAACTGGGAACATTTATCCGACAAATGGCTGGAAGTGCCAATCATGGTGAAGGCAGCTGGAAAATATACAAAGGGATTTTACTTAACCCAGTGGGAATTTTATTCCTATGCTCTCGCCTTCCCAGTAGAACCTTCACTTCCCATTGCGACTATTATTGTCAGATGTTCAGGTGATAAACGGGCCTTCCAGAAATACAGAGCACTAATTATATTAAAAGTTATTAACGATGCTGATTTTGCTGACAGAGAAAATACATCTGGTTTTCAACACAGAATTAATGTTAAGCACGTTACCAAAACCCCAAACCTAACTAGACTTCTGTTTTCTTTCCCCCCCCCACCAAATAATTTATAATGGTTTGCCAAGTCATATAATATTTGGATGCCTTTTACCCAACAGGTAAAAACCAAAGTCCCTGCAGGTCACAGGATGATGGTACCAGCACCTTCATGGAAGATCACAGCTTTCAGAATATTCTCAGAGTATATGTCATATTTTCAGAATATATGACTTTTCAAACAAAATGGCATAAGATTATGAACTGCTGGCTGTATAGAAATCCTTGGCCTTTCCTGTGAGCAACGCAAAAGTCTTTTTCACAACGACATGAAGGAAGAACACTCCAGGAGGAAAAGGAATTTACAATATTCTGTCAGCAAGAGAAATCCTGAATATAGACAAGACAATTACTGGTTAGGATCTGGCTGAGGTTAATGTATATAAAAAACCAGAGAAGCATCATGATACTTATGAGGCCTCAGCTTGAACTCAGCACCCCCATCAGCACATCTCCCACAAAACCAAGGAAAAAAGCTTCTTTACTAAATCTAAAGGGAAAATATGACCTGCTAAATTATTTACATATATATTATCTCACACTGGTAGAGGTGCAGCTTCTCCCAGCACCTCTGGCTCTCCTAAACCATCTCAACTGTGTAATAATCAACTAAGTCTCGTCTCCCTTCACTTTTCAAATCTGCTGAGGAAACAGATTTGTTTCCTCAGGTAGCCTGGCTTTGATCCACTCCCCAAAGCTGTAGATACACAGACCCTTCTCTTTGGAAAAGCATTTTTTAGTTTCTTTTGGGGGTGTTGGATCAGCAGAGACATGGAGGCTGCTCAGATTGTCACTCTTCACAGAATCACAGCATGGTGGGGTTGGAAGGCACTTCAGGAGATCATCCAGTCCAACCCCCCTGCCAAAGCA